TTAAAAAAATATTATATTTTATTAGTTTTTTACAGAGAGGAAAGGGAGAGGGAATAGAGAGAGTCAGAAACATTGATGAGAGAGAAACATCGATCAGCTGCCTCCTGCATACTCCCCACTGGGGATGTGCCCGCAACCAAGGTACATGCCCTTGACTGGAATCGAACCTGGGACCCTTGAGTCCGCAGGCTGACGCTCTATCCACTGAGCCAAACCGGTCAGGGCTTGAAGTCCTTCTTGTTCCATGCCAAAGACCTGGATCCGTTTGAGGCCTCCCTTAACACCATTACAAGGGAAGCAAATACAGTGTCCTACTCAGACTGAGGTGCATGCCCCAGCTGCCAGGTGGCACTCTAGTCCAGGAGCATTACTAGGGAGTCTAGGGGGCTGGGAGGAGCCTTTATAACCCTGGTTGTCTCACCACAGGAACTCTCTCCTGTCCTATGGCCCAGGCTCTGCCTTCAAACCTTCTGGCCACATTCCCACCTTTGTGTCCAGTCCCTCCCCAATCTGCCCCTCTGCTCTTACTACCCTGGGCTGCAGCCCACTTTCCCCAAACCTGCCCCACCCCATCCCCACCATCTTAGGAAGCTCCTCCCTTTCTGTTGTTACCTGTCCTGGATCCAGCCACTTCCCAAGGCCCCCACTGCTACCACCCTGGCCAGGCCTCCACTATCTCCCACCTAGACAGATGTCAATTTGAAAAAAATATAGAAGTCATTCTCCCTTGACTTCCCCAGGCCCCGGAATAAAGCCCAGAGTCCACTGTGGCCCATGAAGCCCTGCCTGCCCACCTGCCTGCAGCTCTCCAGACTCTCGCAACTTGTTCCACTGTCCAGCCTTTGCATGGGCTGTGCCTCAGGCCTTGCCCAGATGTCTTTTTTACAGATGCATGGCACCTGCTCACAGAAGCCTGTCCTCACTATCCCTGCCAAAGTAGCACCCCCTTTTTAGTTATGTGCTTTTATTGATTTCAGAGAGAGAGGAAGGGAAAGAGGTGGAGAGATGGAAACTTCAGTGAGAGAGAAACATCCATCAGCTGCCTCCTGCACACTGCCCTACTGGGGATCCAGCCTGTAACCCTGGCATGTGCCCTAACCAGGAATCCAACCAATGACCTCTTGGTTTATGTGTCGATGCTCAATCACTGAACAACACCGGCTGTACCCCATTCTCTTCTTGACGCTTGTTCTTTGCCTTCCCAGGACTTAGCACAGTTCATAATAACACCCCCTCTGGACCCCCACCATCCCTCCTGGACCTGCGCAGTCCCCTCTGCCCTGGTCTACTCACACCTCCCGTGGTCTGTTCTTTCCGCAGCCACTAGAGGGCTGCCTGTGAACACCTGAGTCAGGTTTGGTTCTGTACCCTACAGACTGTCCTCCCAGTTGCCACCGTAAAGCTCCAGAGATCACCTCGTCCACACGTCCCTGCTCTGCCAACCGCCCACCATGGCTCCTATGTCCCTCAGGATAAAAACCCAAGTCCTTACGTGCCCACGGGACCCTGCACGACCTGCTCCTTCCCTTGGCGTTGGGTGTTCTTTCTGTCTGGATGCTCTTCCCACTTGAGTCACCACTCCCGTCTCTATTCAAGTGCCCTTCCCAGCAGCCCCACGCCCCCCACCTCCCTGCTGTCTCCTCCTCAGAGCTCACGGCTAGTGCATACGTTGTCTTCTCGGTGACTGTCGGCCCTTCCCTTCAACGTCAGTTTCCCACGCCCAGAATTTTAGTTTGTTTGTTTGTTTTTAATCCTCACCCGAAGATATTTTTCCATTGATTTTTAGGAAGAGTGGAAGAGAGAGGGAAAGACAGAGAGAAACATCGATGTGAGAGAAACACATTGGTTGCCTCCTGCATGAACTCCCACCAGGGCCCCAGCCTGGGAGGAACTTGCAACCGAGGTACTCGCCCCTGATTTGAATCAAACCCAGGACCCTTCAGTCCACAGGCCCACACTCTATCCACTGAGCCAAACTGGCTAAGGCCCACGCTCAGGGGTTTTGACTGTTTTGTTCATTGCACAGGTGCTTAATATATGTTCGTTAAATGATTTTTGGAATGTTTATGGGTGTTGCAGCCTCATCAGGCCCTTTCATTCCCAGCGCCCAGCTCAGAGCCTGGCAAAAGCAGGCGCACAGCCAACCTTTGCTGAATGACTATTGAACGGAGCGCACAGCCCTCGCTTCGGCAAACTAGAGGAGGTGCCTGGGCTTCGGCAGGCCACTGTCCAAGCGGGCAGCTGACTACCGCCGCAGGGCAACGCCTCTCTCCTTCCCTCCGTTCCAGGCGGGGCCCCTCCTCCCTGAGTTCCCACTTCCCCACACCGCACCCCTTCCCAGCTCCCATGGGAGCCCCTCCTCGCTCTTCCTTCGCCACCACGGAGCCTTTCTTCACCTTTCTTTCTTTTATTTTTTAAATATATTTTATTGATTTTTTACAGAGAGGAAGGGAGAAGGAGAGGGATAGAGAGTTAGAAGGATAGAGAGTTAGAAACATCGATGAGAGAGAAACATCGATTCAGCTGCCTCCTGCACACTCCCTACTGGGGATGTGCCCGAAACCAAGGTACATGCCCTTGACCGGAATCGAACCTGGGACCCTTCAGTCGGCAGGCCAATGCTCTATCCACTGAGCCAAACCGGTCAGGGCTTCTTCA